CTTAAAACCACAAAGTAATAATAATAATAATAATAATAATAATAATAATAATAATAATAATAATAAAGAAAGCCTGAGTTTCAGACTGCATCTCCCTCTAGTGTAAAAGTCCTACTTCCTGCACAGACTGACATTCATTGACATCTGGAACTACTATAAAGAAATCCTTTAGCAGAAACATCAGACATTGTTCTTAACCTTCTTGACTAAAACGTCAATGAGCAATACTGCGTGCATACCTGATGGGAAAGTCCACCACTGTGTCCAGCTTATCTCTCCAACACCGGTTGTAGGAGAAACGCTTTAGGTGAACTACCAGAATGCGAGGCAGCGACCACAGGTCGAATTTTTTTGTGGCCTGTTGATGTTTCTTACATGTTGGACAATACCTGCATAAAAAAAAGATCATGTTTCTATGATAAAGATAGTGACAAACATTGAATTTTGACACCGATTTAGGCTGTAGTTGTGCACCCTTACCATGGGTCGTGTTCTCCAAGCGTCTCCATAGTAGTAAAGAGCTCGATGCATTCCCTCAGAGCCACAGTGGCCTTCTTTTTCTGGGGTTGGAGCATGCTCTCATGCTTCTCATAGGCCTACAACACAAAATTAACACCTATAAATAAACTGTTTGCATATCCTGTCACAGGATTGTCTGATAAATATCAACCCGCTAACCTCAGCTTCCTGTTCATCATAACACAGTTTCTTTGACTCTGTGTCCCAGTCGATTGCCACAGTGGAATGTGCTGCAGAGAGAAGAGGTGGCAGGGGTTGTGTCAACACCAAGTAGCTTTGAAAAATATAAACTCGATCAATGCATTTTTAAGTTTAAAAGACGAACACTTACGATTGAGTTTGAGGACATTTCCATCACAAGGCAGCGGGCTAATGTTTGCTGTTCCGTAAGAGTTGACTATGCTGAAAGTGAAGAGCTTGGCTGGAGAAGAGCACTGCTTGGCCACGTCTCTTTTAGATCCATTTTCCAAATCAGAGGTGTCCTCTTCGTCCTCTTCAGAGTGGCCGTTCTCTGGCTCTGGACTCACCTGGTGGTCCATGGCCTCCTCCTCACCTGAACAGACACAGATGAAAGCCCATCAGTTTTGAGTTGTTTTCACTGTATTTTAGTGTTGTTGGTTAACAAGAATATGAAAATATTCTGATTGGTGAGGTCTCCCTGCTCAGACAGACAGATGATGTTAGCCGCTTACCATCATATACACCATTAGTTTCATTGCAGGTCCCTGAGTGGTTGCTGCCGTTACTGGAGCTGGCACTGCAGGAGGCCCCGTCTGACAGGGGGCTGCCACAGCCACCCAGGCTGGCATTGAGACTAGACGACGTGGAACATTCAGGAGCCTGGCTGCAGCTGGCAAAGGTGGCCGACGCTGAGGCCCTGCTTTCACTGTTAGGGATCTGGGAGTGTTTTACATAGCGTCTGGAACAGGGAACAGAGGAGATTATATAAACAGTAAATACACACAGAAGTCATGATTCATTATCAGTGGCTTCAACTGCACTAGACTAGTGAAGGCAATTTTTTAACAGCGTTTTACACAGAACGCTTAGCATGATCCCATCCCTGCATGACCTGACAACTACTACCACACCTCTCTCTCTCTTCATAGTGCCACTGCACGGTTCTTACCCAATCCGCTCCAAGATCTTGTCATAAAGAATGTCTGCTATGAGGTTTTGTCTGGGCACGGTGATGAGTAAAGGCTGGCCAAACAGCATGGTGCTTGAGGAGCTTCCAGCATGCTTGGAGTGGCGCTCCCTGAAATACACTGGCAGGTTCATCCTCTCGCTGTCCTCTTCCTGTACCTCATACCTGCAAAGAGCAAAAACACAAACAAACACATTATACACGCACCTAGTATTAAACGGCAACCACAGTGACGAACACAAGACAACTTGGTCACCAACGAGACTTACACAAAGATGTCATCTTTTTCCATAATTTGGTTGAGGCCGTCATCTCGTCTATAAATTTTATGGAACCTATGATTGTAAACGTCAGCCACCACCATCTAGACAGACAAGTAAATGGAGTTAGCATATAACATTTCCATTACAAGGGTAAAGACCACTTTATTGTAGAGGTGTAAAAGGATAAAGTTCTAACGTTTTCTGGAGGGAAACCACAGAGTTTGGACAAGGTGCTGCACAGGTCTGTCACTGTACCCAGTTTGGGGACCACCACTCGATACTGTAAGACAAAGAAAAAGTAGATATTATAGTCTAAGTGAATGAACTGCTTAATTAAAGGCTTGAGCTTTCGGAAATCCAGGATTCATTAACAGCAAACACAAAGCCAAGTCTATCTTTAAAAAACTGTATTAGTTGAATTGTATTAGTTGAATTGTAGTTGTTCAAGTCCCCACAATGCTTAATTCCACCTCACCTGTGTGGGTCTAGACTGAGGGTCTGACCGCACCAGGAACACCTCCATAGTACGGTCTTTCTTCATGGGTAGAGGCAGTGTGAGGTAGCAGAATGGGTCGAAGGTTACAGACACCTTGGAGCACTCTGGGCACACCAAAGTTGATTTGAAGAGGCCATGGAAAATATCAACTATTATAGAGTCATTGCGCAAGCGGTGGTTCGTCCAGGCCTCCTTAGCAACAATCTGTAATTACACAAAAACTTTCATTAGACGCTATTCTAAAACCTCAAAAAGGAAGTGTGCAACACAACATTGTACGGTATTTTTTTTAAAACCTTCTGCTCTTCTGTTATCTCTTCTGCTATATAAAACGATGTGGATCAAAGCACACAATGTGCAGCTTCAAAATAAGAAGCTATGCTATGTCTAGCTGTCAGCGACTGCTAGTCCTTGCAGCTGATTTCATCAATCACAACACATGAAAGCGGGGACTGCTGTGAACAAAGATATTTAAGTGCCATCATATTCCAATGTCAGACTGGGCCACTGGATGAAAATTACTTTTGAGAAATAAAAGGCTCTTGAAAAACTGCACAGATTGAACTAGTATCACACTATTACTAGATGCTATACCTCATCTGGACGGCCCTCTGCATCCCTCAGGGCCAGGTAAGGCTTCTTCTTGACACGGTTCAGATCTTCATGGAGCCCATCCAGCAGGAAGGCCAACAGCTCCTGCGAGTCCTGCTGCTGGTAGCCCGAAAACTGTGGGGCAAAGCGCCCGACCTGGGTCTGGAAACAAAATGGTGTCATTTTATTAACTATGTAGCTTTAAAAAGTATCCATTCGTAATGTTAATCCGTATACATTCACTTCAGATAAAGTTGTTTGACACAACTCACTTTGAAGGTACGTGGGGCCACATAGCTGCTGCGGCTCAGCCACATCTGCTTTACTAGATCAGCATAGGCCTCGGCAATCTCGCCCCTCATCCCCAGGGGATTCTCTCGGTTAATCTCTGCCTCGTACTGGTCATTGAGGAAGTACTCTGTGAGTGGAGAGGCATTGCTCAGGCACTGGAAGAGGAGGAATAAAAAGGGATTAACTAAACATAACGCACCAAAAGCATGACAACTGACTCTTTCTGAATTAAAGTTGTAACTGTAGCATTAGTTGTGTTGTTTTTTTTTACCTGGAGGGCAGAGTTCATGAAGCATGTGTTGCCCAAATTACTGAGACCACATAGACCAGGCTGCGACTGGGACTCTCTGTAGTTGTAGGAGGAGCTGTACGAATTGTAGCCTCCCAATCTGCTGGAAGAGCAGATCTGTTACTCATGGTATCCAAGAGGCTGTGATATAGCCAATACTTCAGGCATATGACATTCAAACACGGTGTGTGGATAAAACATCAGACTGACAAAATACCACCTCAAGAGAACATGTTAAGTTGGCATACCTCTATGAATTGCCAACAAGTAATATTGGCTAGGCTGTCACCACCACACTCTTGTTCTCATTTAGAATGTGGACACACCTATACATCCTTAACAAACATCAGTTTAATCTTCTCTTTCACACTCTCTCTCCAGATCTCTGAATTACAGTGTTAATAGTTTGAGCTTGTAAACATTTAAATAATTAATTTGATCTTCCTACCTTTGTAGATTTTTTTGTTTTTACTTCAAATATACAATGTCGCTGTAGTGAATTTGTGATTAATGGACTAAATAATTATGTTCAGACTGTGTACGTAAAGTTCCATCGTTGTATACCAATCAGAAACCAGTTAATTGATCAAACAATTCGAAATAAGTAAGAAAAAGTAACTCAACCAGTGACTAAAAGAACAATGAAAACCAATTGTGGCCAGACACCTACAATGATTTCAATGTGGTATTCAGATGTAAGTGCTAGGAAGAACTAGCAGAATGGGCATGGCAGACCAGAGCGAGTGAGTCAAGTCACTAAAATGGAGCCATGTGAAGTGATATGAAGTACTGAAACAAAGTTTGTAAAGTTATGTAGAATGAGAAAGAAGAACTTCAGTTTGGGACAACTGGAACAGTTGAAAGCAGAGTTTGGGACAGTTGCGGGACGCGGACAAAAAAAGTTAATTTTGTGCCCAGCCTTTCAATAAAAGGTGAAGTGGAGTTGAATAACCTTACACGAACCAAATAAACTGGTATCTCGGTGTATATCCTCATCTAATCAAGCTGCTCATTTTCCTTCCATTTTAAAACAGTTAATCAACTCTTCAGTAATCCTACTAAGCTCTAGGCAGCAGTGAACTTCATAAAGTGCAAATGCAAGCACCTTAAGAGCATAAAAAACAAACCATGCAAGAAAAACAAATATCAAAACAATGGAAAGCAGAAGTGGTATAAATAAAAACTCATGATATTATGGGCAGAGGAAAACCACATATTCTTCTGCTGTGTGTAACAAAAACTAAATTCTTTCTTTCCCAACAAAGACCTAATGCACTGGTGGAGGTCTGTAGGGATGAAACTGTTAGACTGATGTATTGGTTCAAGTTTCTTTCTGCCACATTATCAGTTCTAATCATGACATACAATGAGTCTGAGTCTGCAGATGTAACAACTGGAATCAACAGGAGCTGAGGAATTAACTGGTACTCAAGTACAATAAAAGATGTGAACTGCTGGTTGTTATGCGTTTGGGGGGAAACAGTGACGGGGCAATACATCAGGTAAGAGCTCTTGCCTGTTGCCAGAGGAGGTGCTGTTGTTGAGCGTGTAGCCAGGGCTACAGGTGCTGTCTCCATTGGTTACTGTTGACGAGATACTGGCTGTTGAGTTGGAGGAAAGTTTTGGGGAGGTAGTAAAATTCCTGGATGGTGTTGTACTGGATCTGGTGAGGAAGAGCAAAACCATGTTTTAGAGAAGCGTGTTGTCTCCTCAAACTTTCCAATGTTGAGCAAACTTGGCTACAGGGCTGTCCCGACTAAACAAATAGTTGAATCTTTCCCGGGTGTGTTTACTCAAAAACTACTTTAATCTGCTTACTCTGCTGCTCCTCTTTCCCCCATACACAAATACCAAGACCTCTGTCTCTGTGCACTGCTCTGCACATACACCAGCTCGCCCCACCTCCCCCCTTTCGGTTTCTCTCCCTATCAGTTGACATTAGTCATCAGCAGTATGTTTTATAGTCACCCAAACAGGTGAGCCGCATGTGGAGGAGGTTTGTTGTTAACGGTGTAGCCCATCGAAAGGATCACAACCACTGTGGTACCGAATGCTTTACCTGGTGTGTGCTTGTAAAATATCCAACTTGTCTGGCTCTTTTAACATAATACCAGATTAAGTCTCTGTCCCCTGTTACTCTGCAAAATGCTAAAATGTGTCACTGACCTGGGCAGCCCGCCCGAGTACAGTCTATGTGGGGAAACAGGCTAAGGATAAGGCTTTAAAAAAGCTTGGAAGCTTTTGGGTCAGCCCAACTTGGATATATTTTTAATGTATACATTAAATGTTTCAAAACTACCAGGTTACAACTTACCGCCTTTTCCTGAATGACTAAAAAACAAAAAGGCATTTGCTTACTTGGGATGGGAGGCTTGTCTGGGCCACGTGCCATCCTCATTCTTCCGCTCAATCACAAGCACCTGTGGGAAAACAAGCAGAGTGAGAGCCGAGCTGGCACAACTGACCTTTGTGTCAGAGCTATCATGTCTCCGGCTTGAATTTAATACTATACAGGTGCCAAGTGCTGCCAAGCTTTAGCAGCTGTAGTTACGTCTATCAACTCCACTTACTCTGATGTGTAATTAGTCTGTTTTTGACCTTCAGTTTACAGTTTTAGGACAACAGCTGCTGTAATGAATTCATTTCACGCATTTCACATTACAAGTATGAGCACTGGCATTGAATTGTAAAACGAGGTATTAGCTCAATTCTACAGTAATATCTGAGGCCATAGTTTATGGTGTTGTTGTATTGGACTGTGTTAAGAGATACAATGTCAATCTCTTACCTATATAAAGTCCGGTCCCCTTTTAAATATAAGGAATTCCTCACATTATAATATATAGCAAATACCTTACAATACAACACCATCACAAACTACAGCATTGACCTCTGTTACACAGTCTCAACAACAACATATTTTTCCAGGGCTAACGCATTGTGTTGCATTCGACTCTCAGATGTTATTGTTATTTTTTATAATGCCTGTAAATGAATTATGTATACACAGCAAGTACCAGAACGTTAGTGGGCTGTGGTGTTCTTCAAAAGAAATGAGGAAGAGAGTCTATCAATGATCTGAAGGTTATTTGAATAACACCGCTGTACGTTACCTGTCCCTGGAAGAGACCAGCATCCTGTACAGTGCTGTCTGGCTTGTTCAGCTGCTCGTAGGTGTTGCTCATGTATTTGTTCCAGAGCCGTGTCTCCTTCTCTGATGGGATATTGAATAGCGTCCTCATCTCCTTCTCTATAGTATCTGGAAAGAGAGGATTTGCAAGATTTGCTTATTAACTTCCCTGCTTATTTATTTACACAAAACACATTTAATGACTGACGATGTATACATATTTCCAGTGCACATGTATCTAGTTATTTTCAATGCAAAGAACCCTCACCTATAGTATCGGCTTTACTGAAGTGACGTGTGACCACGTTGTCCATGTTGTCATTCTCACACAAGTTCAGCTCCAGCAAATAGACCTCCACCTTACAGTGCTTGACAAACATGCCATGTTCAACAACCTGAAGAAGAAAGAATACATTTCGGATCCACCAGTGAATGGTCAAAGTAAAAAAAGAAATACCTTCAACAGCATTACCTTCCTGACGATAGGTCTCTGGCCATCTAGGCAGCCGTACCAGCTGACAAGCTTATTCCATGCCTCAGTGGGTACAAGGACATAGTCCAGCTCATCTATAAGGTGCTCTTTCAGGGCCTGAGTCTCCTGGTCTTTAAGGACGGAAAAAAAGAAAAACACAAAATGATGACTACAGACTTAAAAATGCTCTTTCAATCTCTAAGTGGTATTTCTGCAGTTCTCAAAAGCAATCACAATAAAAGCCCAACAGAAGTTACTTTAAAGATGAGTTTTACCTGAGAACAGCCCGGAGTTATCAATTGGTCCTGGATAGAGGCTACGTTCGCCAACATTGTACATATCCCAGCTGTCAAATCCCACATACTTCTTCCATTGTTTGAACCACCTGCTGTCTATAAGATACCTAAAACACAGTTTTTGGTAATGGTTAATGCCAAACACAATCACACTTTGAGAGAGACACTCGATTGTTTCTCCTGAACTTTTGAGACTTTTTGATCACCTGAAGAGATCAAGAAAAGGCAGATCACGGTACGATACAGTGCTTTCGGTTTGAAGAGACACTGCATTCAGCCGTACGCCAAGCCAGAACATTATGCAACAGCAAACTGTCTAGGCATTTGCAGATATAGCAACAGCAAGCTAGTTTGACTTAATCTCATCCTAAGCAAGAATCTCCTTTAGTTAATAGGCTTGTTAGCAAGCATTCAAACAGTAAGACGTTGGGTCAAGGAACTTTGTCTTTCTTTCTGCAACCACTGTCTGAATGAATCCAACAGCCTCAAGTAGGAAGTGTTTCAGCTGATGTAAGGTGTGTAATCTTCGCCCTTTCACCTGAGGTTAATTCCCGATGCTATGAAGCACTGATAAAGTGGAAAAACATACATTTCAGCTTGAATACCAAGGGGTAGTTATATTTATTTTAACTAAATCATCATTAGACACTAACACTACAGGCAGTACCTGACTCATTCCAACAACTACTTGAGTCTGTTGTATGTTAGCTGAGCAGCTAATAGCTGACAGTCATGTTCCACCCTCGGTGCCCATTTAGATCAACACAGAAGCAGGGGACACAATTCTCTGTTGCAATATTGACCTGCTGAAGTGAAGCCTCTTTAACACATCTAGTAGCACTATGCCCAGGCCTGAGTGCTCTTTATGATCTGAAACTGTTAGCTAACACATGTAGCCGGCTAGTAAGAAACCAGTTAAACAACTTCAACATGTCACAACAAGCAGGTGATAATATTCCTGTCAGTGGGCCCGTTTGCTGATCACTGCCTAACTAACAAGCAGCCGGTCTGTCAGGCAGAAGAGCCCACCATCTGAATCCAGGGCCTATTCCACCAGCCGACTAGCCACCACAGCAGCAAACGTCACCTAACTTGTCACAAAACAGGCATCAATGTTTACGCACCAAACAAATGAGCCTTTTATTTCGCCGTGTTCGCCTGGCTGTTCCTGACAAACGTTAGTGGCTCTTACTACAGGCAGCTCTCTCAGAGAAATACTTAAGTTGGACTGGCCAGCAGCTAGCGCGCTAACTTGTTAAACATTAGCTGGCCAACACATCGGCAGCACTGCAGCTTTCCATTTCAGACACTGGTGTCGATAGCTTGCTAGCGTTAGCGTGTTAGCATTTCCTGTTTCCCCACTAGCTGCGGTTAGCTGGCTAACGCTAGCTGAAACACCCCGCTGACGTTAGCCGCCGCCGATTCTTACCATTCGTCGCCTTTTCTGAGAGTTGTTTTCAAAAGTGACCCGATAGTCTGTTTTTGATTTTCCGTTGAAGGGGTTGGCATTTGAGCGGCTACCGGCTCCGAGTCGGAGTCAGCCGCGCCACCCGACTCGGGTCCGCCTCCCTCGGCCATCATGCAGCGAGTGTGCCGGTATCGTGAACGCGCGGTTGGAAGAGACGCGCTTAGGAAATGTTCTTCCTCTACGATCACAGAGGAGAAGAGCTGCTGCTGCTGCTGCTGCCAGTGGTGACTGCTCTGACAACAACCCACCTGCCACACCGCTCAGTCACCTGCACCAGGCCTAAAAGTGTCCTAAGCCAGGGGTGTGCCAAAGGGCTGGTTTACGAGAAACATCCTCAGGTCAGGTCAGTTTTGCAAAATGTGACGGCTGACTGACATATTAGTCAAATTACTCAATTACTCGAATTACTTAATTATGAATGGCAAAATGTGTTGGTGCATTGCAACAAATAAAACTGGGTGTTTAGTCAAAACAGGCTTTATGCTGTACAAAAACACAGGGGAGTTACATTACAAAATAAACTGTCTACATACTTCAAAAACACTCAAAAACAAGATTTCCATCACACTAACATATTCTCTGCCAACAACTAATCAGTTCTGGGTCTGCTTCCAACTTGAGGCAGCTGACACAGAGCAGCTGATCTATCTATGATCTAACAAAGGAGTCATTAAAGATTGTTAAAGTATAATTAAATAAACAGAATTAAGACCTGTAAAATGGTATGGTGTCCTTTTTTTTTTTTTTTTTAAACATGATGATATAGATGAAAAATGTATACAGCTAGTCTAGCTGTGCATGACAAGAAAAAAATAAGCACTAGGTAGTTCACATTCTATTACCTAATGGCATTATGATGGCATACAGTTAGTACAAGCTAATAATAATGCATTTCAATACGCAAAAAGCCACCTAATTTCTCCCAAACATCTTGTCTAAAAGGTGAGATAGCAGAGAAATGCTTTCTAATATGCATGATACAGCAGCAGAACCAGTGTATTTTAAGTCATTTCAGATATTTTATGGACAGGGATGAGAGGGTGATACATGTGAAAAGACAAGGACCACAAATAAGTGAATGTAAACTTTGCATAACATGAAGGGATCTGTCCCATCTCTGTTGTTTTAACCAAAAACAAATCCCTGCAATGATCAAAATTTAAACTGAAGGCTCCAAGTAGCAGTGACCAGGCCATCAGAAGATACCACTGGGCAGTTCCTTGCTAAACATGCCATCAAAGTCCAGCTCTCTGCTCATCAGATCATCCTCTACACTCTCCAGCGCCCACTGATGGTCAGTCAGCTCCAGTGCCTCCCACTCAGCCTGAAATGTAAGGACAGACATGAACATGAACAACCTGAGCAAAGCCCACCCTCATTAATTAAAGAGGCTGAAACCACAGGATATACCTTAAAAGCTTTATTTGTATCTGCAGGCATGGCCATGGCGGCACCACTCATCTGCTCCTGCATGATCCTCGACTGATCTGCGCCTGTGGGAATTGCAAGAGCAAAACAATCATGTATGTATTGAAATTAGATATCATGATATAGTAAATCAAAAGACTGGGTGGGTTTTTATTATTGTTGAACCTTCTGAAACAGTTTCATGTTATCATCAAACAATAACAAAACACAAAAAATGATCTAAAAATTAGTTAGAATGAGAATTACCATTATCTTGACCCAGAATTAATGAGTACATGCTTCGTAGTCCAAACACATTCAGGAAATACCACGATGCTGAGCTCACCCTAGATGATAAACACACACACACACAAACAAACGCAATAAATGACAAGAAGGTCACACATTAGCTTAAACATTGAGATCTCTACAGATTTTTGGTTCTATTAGTTTACCAGGAGGCATCCAACGAGAGCAGCTCTATTCCTTGCTGCAGCATGGGCTTGAAGCGCAGAGTGAGAGGGAAGGGAACCTTAGCTGTGTGAAATAGAGTACAAAAAGA